TCTTACCCTTTGCCATTTGTAACAGAAGAGGAAGAATGGCAACAAGACCTGTGGTGAATTTATAGAAGTTGCCTCTGTATGGTATGAATTAACCGTCGTATTGAGATAGATGGCTTTATGATAAAGGCGGAGGAGATGGGTGACTGTCTTTTACAAATTTCTTGAAGGTCAGCATTAAGAATGTCTGGGGTTTTAGCAGTCAGCACGTGTGTCATTTTGCATAACATGGACTCAGCCTGCTTCTGTGCTCCTTTCAGGTGTGGGATGTATGAAATGCCAGATTTCTCATTTAACTTATGTTTTGAACTCTCCAAGGGAGCGGGAGAGGGAGAGGCATAGGCACCGTGACAGCAGAAGATCACCATCACCAGACAGATCCTACAAAAAAGATTACAAGAGAACGGGAAGGTAAGGAAGGTTACGTATGGTCTCTTGTGTATTTGGGGCTCTGTGTATCTATGCATGTAAGTTTTTGTGTATGTGCATACGTGCCTGTTTTGAAACTCAGAAAAGATGAGTGCCTTAAATTTATAACCATCTGCATATACATGTGAATGTCAGCTATCTCAAGACCTTGTGAAGTTAGAAACAGGATTAATCTCTGGAGAGAGGGCTTCGCTGCTGTGTCCTGAAGACTTCCTCCTACATCTGCTTCTAGTCTGTAAAGTACCAAGATTATTTAAAGTCATTCCATGTTTAGATCACCTTTTAGGAGCTTTTTTTTATATTGATATAAAAAAGAAATTCCTTCTGAATCCTGGATAGTTGAAATCAGTGCAACATTATTGGCTTTGTAGGCAGAGGAGATTAAAATAAAGAAGTAGTTTTCATACATTTAGCTTCTGAAAGCATAACTCTTGCAATACATAAGAAATATCACAGGTTGTGTTGTTCAAAGAAGTGCCAGAGTTAGAGTAACACAAGCAGCATGGCTTCTGTATAATCCTTCTAATAAAATCCTAATTCTTTTCTCATGCAAATAGTTTGTGGGCTATGTATTAAAACTTCTTTATATTGTAACTTTTAGTTGTGAGTGATGTGACTGTTAGTTTTTAGTGATGAGTTTCTAACTTTGGAACAAAATTAAAAGAAAGTAATCTAGAAAGGAAGTAGGATTTTTAATCTGAAATAGCATATATTTTTTCATTCTAATTCTTGAATAAGGTTTAAAATACAAAAGCACTTCCAATTTTAAGTCATTTTTTATAGTAGGTCAGAACTACAAAGTACTCTTTATGTTGCAAGTTAAAAGCAGGAAGAGGCAATTGGATTTTCTGTAGTTTATATGATAGAATGATGTACTGATCTGCAGCAAACTATTTGTTTTTCATTATAAAACTGTCACGGTTAAAATAATAAAGAGAATTGCTTTTGTTTGCTTTCTCCCACTAAGTCGGTCTCCAAGCAGAGAGAGAAAGAGACCCCGATGGGAGGAGGACAGGGAAAGGTGGTCTGAGAACCAGAGCTCCAACAAAGAGAAAAATTATACTGCTATCAAAGACAAAGAATCAGAGGAGAATGCATCTGAAAAAAACGAAGAGGAAGATGAGGAATTACTTAAGCCAGTCTGGGTTCGCTGTACCCATTCTGAAAGCTATTATTCCAATGATCCTATGGATCAAGTGGTATGTTTGTGAGAGAACTCTAACATTACTCTACACAGTCTTTTACTGATTATTTGGTACTTGATTAATATGAACTTTTCAGCAAGATCATGTTTTATGTCACTTAATCTTTCTATCCTCCCAACCACCTCAGTCTTTTAACCCTGTTAAGGACTTTTTTTGTTGGTATTCTCTATTTTCATCAGTTTCTTATGTTTTCATTCAGATTAGTGGTATATGGAAGAGGGGTACTTTTTTGTCTTCAGGAGGGGAAGGGTGGGTTTCTCCATTATACCTGTATTTGAGCAAAGATGCTTCAATCACCATGTATTCCCACAACCTTGGAGTTTTGTACAGAAGCAGGAAGTCAGGATTCTTTGTACTTGATAATAACACTTGCTGGTGGAGTAGTGATAGAGGAGGAGAGGTTTCTGGTTTTTTGAGGTTTTTTTTTGTTTGTTTGTGGCTGGTAGGTTGTGGGGTGTTTGTTTTTTTGTTTTTTTTTTTAGAATAACATGGAGAGTGAATTCATAGTGACTCAAAGCATGCACCAAAATGAGCTGAGCTTTGTGTTTATTGTGTGTGATAAAATTCTTTTTAATTGCAAAATACTTCCACAGGTCTCCTGTTTCTTCTAAACCTGTTAAAAATCAATGCTGAGCTGTACTAAATACGCTTAGCCATAGTTCTGCTTTGTTAGGCCAAGGGTTTGATGATAATGCACCAGCAAATGAAGTAATTTCTCTGCTAATTCATCTGACAGAACAATGTAATGGCTAAAGCCTTAACAAGTATATCCATGTTTCATTGAACTACACTGAGATCCATCTTTCCCCCCCCTTGCTTTTCACTGTGAAATGCTGGTGCATGTTGTGTTCATGTGCTTTTTCCACACTGTCGGTTTTTGTTGTTGTTCTGTTTTTTAATTAACAGGGGGACTCTACTGTGGTAGGAACAAGCAAGCTCCGAGATCTGTATGAAAAGTTTGATGAGGAGTTAGGAAAGCGACAGGCAAAGGCCAAAGCAGCCAGGCCGCCATGGGAACCACCAAAGACCAAGCTGGATGAAGATTTAGGTAGGCAGAAATGATGACAAAGCTCTGAAATGGAATAATCTATAGTTAAGCTGGTTTTGGCAGTTGTTTGTATTTAATAATGTTGGTAGGCTAATACATGTTTTTTAAGTCCTTCCTTTCTATTGCATATCCATGGGAGTTTTATTGTTGCTTTTGACTGAAGTAGAGCTAGACTTTTTTACCCAGAAAGCCTAAGGGAAAATGGAGGGTTTCCAGCACTGCCTTATGCTAAAGTTTCTTCCATGGCATGAAAACACCCTAAGCATGATCAGATAGGCCAAAGCATGGCTCGCGAGAGGCTTTGAGGAGCTCCTAGTCTTATATTTCTAAAAAAGAAGCAAGAGTAGTGGTGGTAAACTCATATGGCTGCTTGTTATGGCACTGAGTTCATCTTTCTTCTGGATTGTATTTTGGTTGTGCAGCTCTGCTTACTATAATCTTATGCAGAAGTATCAGTTTTCAAAACATAGTTTGTCTGCGTTGTCATGCACCACCCATATAGACCTTCTTGCAGTGAAGTAAGTCTGCTAGCTCTATCAGTTGCTGGGAAGATACTGGTTGAATTAGCAGGACATACTTTTTGATAGCAATTTGTCTACTCAGAAGTCAGTGAAAACTGTTTTTCTTTGTTTTGTGAGCACTGTCAACTGTTCTTGTTATACTTCCAGCATTTCAGTGTTTCATAGTGTGTTTTTCAGTCAGTTGCATCAGTTCAAGAAATTCTTAGGCATATCACATTAATTTAGATACTCCGCTGGGCTTGCTTTTTAACTGATGCTTCATGTCTGCCTGTTGAGCTGCTTCAGACTCTCATAGCTGAGCCTAGTAAGTCTTTAAAAATCACATATCAAAAATTCTGAAGTTGAAATACAGGTATATAATGACATGGTCAGTTACATGCAGGCAGTTTAAAAAGATACAATACTGGTGAAAGAAAAATAATAAACAGATTAAATAAGATGTGAATTCACTTTTGTAAAGGAAACACCTTTTTACCTTTTTTTGAATAGTGGATTTGCACATATTTAAATTCACTCAAGAATCATTATCAAAGTTAACTGCATGGTGTTTCAGGAGGTATATTTTCATGTGGATGAAGCGAGGACAAAACTACTGCATTCAGCATACCTCTGTGCTTTACTTTCACATACCTTCACTTTCTCAGGTCTCTGCAGTAAGAGTTCCTTTGCTGCTCCAGGCTAAAATATAGGGCCAAGAGCAACTTCTCTGTGTTTATTTTTCCACTCTTTCTGGAGGACCTGAAGGCTCTGCGTTTGCACTGGTCCCCTGGGCTGACTTGGTGTCTGTGCCAGCTTCTCCTACAGCCATGCTTCTGCAGTGTCTAATAGTTTGTCTTATTTTGTACTTAAGTAGATGCTGTCTCTCTTCTGCCTTGTGTTATCAGTAATTGTGTACTGTAGTGAGATAGCGATGTGCTCGAAGAGCACTTTTAGATCATGAAAGGCTGGTTTCAGTACATGAAATCCAAAAGTTCTTTGTTGGTCTTTCAGAATTTCAGCTTACTGTCACAGGTCCCACGCTCATTTTGCACCTAAAATTAGACTTATACAACTAAGTAATGTTTATCAGAGAACTTTTAAAACTCAAGTGTTTGTGAATATTTGTAGGAAAATATGTGTATGCACATTCAGGCAAAACTTGATTGCAACTGAGCATATATGACCTATGTAAACCATATGTCCCAAGGACATATTTTAATAACACCTTATGCTGAATTACGGACTGTATAAAAATACATCTTGATTTAAAGAAAAAAGGGAAGCATATTTTGCTAGTAATATTCTCTCATTTTCTCTCTCTCTCTCTTTTTCTTTTAACTAAGGAGAGTCTTGTATTCAGTAAATACACATATTTTAAACCATAGTTTCACAGTATTTCAAAGCACTGGCAGGGTAGTTAATATGTTTTCTTTTAAGTCGAAACTTAGAAATGGAAGAAATGTTGCATCCCTCCTTCCAAGAATAATAAACCTTACTTGCTTTGTGCTATATGTCTTGGCTATGAAGGCGTTTATTTGGAGCTGAGATCATCTGTGGAAATGAGTGACATTAGAAAGGGAGTCACTTGTAAGTACCACAGGAGGTTAGAGATATGCGAGATCGGGCAATGGGAGTTTTTTTGTGTGTTTGTTTTTGGATTTTTTTGTGGTGTTTTTAAGTCCAGACACTTATTAACATTACTCTGACAAGACCACAAAGGAGACATTTTAACAAGTCTAAGACAATCTTCTGTTCTTTTTTTTTTCCTTAGCATTGTTCTCCCCTCTGATAGAAAAATTGTTTCAGTTAATACAAAGAAAAATGTCTTTAGGAAAAAAAAAGTAAGGAGGAAAACTCACAGAACAGGGCTTCCAAAAAACTTGCAGCTGCATTCACTCAGCTAGTAGTTCCAGGTTTTCCTCTTGTCTGTGGTTTCTAATATGTGATAATGAATTTATTAGAAATAATTGATTTTGAAAAATGAGTCTAACAGTACATATTCTATAATAATTCTATCCATATGTGCTGTTTGGTAACTCTTAAATAGGCAATATCCTGCTACAGACAGGAGCATTTTTAGGTAAAATGAAACTAGACGTAAGCACTTTGCTCATAGCAAGCAGAATTAACTTTTAAACAAAAGGTTCTGTTTAGCTCATTCTAATGACCTTAAGTGTATTCTTTCTCTTTTCTCTCTTTTTTCTTTTTCTTTTTTTTTTTTTTTTAACTTTACGGTCATACTTGTGTTGGTTATAGCTCTGTAATCTTTAATGTCAAGTAACTGAAATTGTTCTTCTACAACTGATCAGTGGTGCTCCTGGACAGCCAAACAGCAATCTGACGCATGCAAACAGATGCAGTTGTTGTAGGCATTTAATATCCATAGCATTTCCTGTCATTTTTAATTAAAAATGTAGTTGCTGTCCCTCTTTTCATTAGTGTGAATGTCATGCACAACTTAACTAACTGTGGCATACTGAAAGTTATTAATGTCATGTTAGAGAATGCATTGCTACTGGGGAAGAGAGTGTGTGGAAGTGTTTTTCACCGACTTTATTTTCCCTGTGTGAATCAGAGAGCTCCAGTGACTCAGACTGTGACTCTGAAGATGACAGCAGCTGCTCTAGCAGTTCAGATTCTGAAGTTTTTGACGTCATTGCAGAAATTAAGCGTAAAAAAGCACACCCTGATCGTCTCCATGAAGAACTGTGGTACAATGATCCAGGACAGGTAGGGTGAGAGGAAAAAGTACCGTGTGTCTGAAAGTCATTCTCCCCTGTAGACCTAAAATTCTGCATTGTTGTCAAACATGCTGAGTGACATTTATTTCAATACGCATTTTTTTTAACCCCCTTTTCTCTCTCATCTTCTTCAAAGCACTTCACTTTTGATTTCAAGAGTGTGGTTTCAGCTCATGAATCCTGGGGATTATTCAGCTGCAATCACATCTGACACTGTTAATAAAACCTGAATTGCTAACAGTGTACTAATGCTGTCCTCTTAACCCTGAGATAAAAGTACACAGATGAATTCTGGGGTGGAGAAAAAGCAGCATGTTTACCTCCTTTACAAATTTTTCACCTAAAAGCTCTCAGCTCATAATGATAAATAATGTTTTAAATATGTGGTTAATGCTCCTAATTTCTTGTCTAATGGTTCTTTTGTAATTGCATGGAGATTATAGTTCTCATTAAACGTAATTGCTGAGCTCATGAACTGTTGTTTTGAATGTATACATTGCACAGAAGACTAGTTTTTGTTTGCAAATTTGCCATCTTCATCTTTCTTACTTAAATATTTTACAGTCTATTCTAACTATTGTCAAATGGCATCTCAGTAAATTTCTTTTTCTGGCACTTTGTGTGATGCATGAGTTTAGCATGCAACAAATCATAATGCCAAGAGATACTGCAATGCTTATTGCCACTGTGGTAATTCAAAGGTCTGTTGAATATTCTATTACAGACTCACTTTTATGCTTCTAGTTAAAAAAAAAAAATAATAATTTGACCGAGCATAGCTAGCTGTTTTTATTTGTATGGAAAACAAAATCAGCGAACTGTTTAGATACTTAACTGAAAAAATTGTGTAGCTCTTGGGCACACTTCAAAGTAATGTTCTAGGCCAGAATATTAGCTGAATAAAAAGAAGTGGAATAACTGTAGGATGAATAGATTCAGAAATGTGTGGTTTATGAGTTCTGAAAAACTTTCTTTCCCAAAAACTTGCTTGAGACACTGACTCTTCGTCTGTCTTGAAGGGGCTGAAATCAGATCATGGTGAGCTTGTCGGTGCTCTACTACTTTTGAGTAGATTTTATTTGAAAACATTTGAAGTTTTCCTAGGTATTTATCTGGTATGCCAGAATGCTTTCTAACTATCACTACATAAGACAGGAATGATTGCCGTGCATATTGGCACGTACAAGTGCACAGTCTGACACAGAACTAGATTTTTAGGATGGATCTTCCCAACCCTTCAGTCTGAGCAGTGTGTTTGTTACTTCGGATAGTCTCCAGCAGTGCTGGCAGTTGCCAGAAAATAAATTGTTAAAGCAGATGCCACCACAGTGGCCTTTTGCTTACAAGTGTTATCTGCTTGTTTGTTGCCCTGTTGGCCAGAGAAAGTTAGAAGCCATTACTTTGATTTATGTAAAGTTGTGACCTTTCAACATCATTTTATTGTCACTTCAGGATTGCTCTTCTGCCTTTTTCTTTTTTCCATGAGCTGTGTCATTAGGGACAAGATAGATATGTATCTGACTTGCTTCTCAAGTCCTGGGCTTTACGGGTGCTTCACATGTCCCTCAGTTTTGGTCTGTGCATTTAATGTAAAAGAGGCAGTGTTAGTGCTGAACAGTTCTAAGAATTAAGGATGAGACTTTAAAAAATAAGTGATGATTATTCTAATAGCCTCAGTAGGCCCTTATTTTTTGGGGAGTGATGAGCAATTTGCATTTTTCAACTCTTCTGTTTTGTGGCTATATAAGCCAGTGAGGAAGTATGCTTTTACTTATAAGCATGATTCAATTTCATTGAGCTTGTACTTCCCTCAAGGGTCTCGGAGCGTGGAAAAAAATGTGTGAACAAAAAGCAGTCATGTCACTCTGTTAAGATTGCATGACTAAGTTCTCAAAGGAGTAGAGAAGTGCCCTACTTCTTACATTCCTTTGCATGTATGCGCTGTGCCAGTCTGAAGAAATTAAACTGAGATTAACATTCGGAGAATTAACATCAGAACTAGAAAGTTGGATCCCTCTCCCAACTGTCTGAAGACTGCGTTAACAGCAGTTGGGTGGTTCTTGCTTCCTGAGGTATCTTCACATTGTATCTATTTGATGATACTATTGAGCCCCACCATGGACGCTGTTTCCATTTTCAGGCTGCTTATAATGGTATGGAAAGTTCTGCTGGTTTTTGTATTGTATTGAAAGGTGGTGGTGTTTTTTCTAAGTCTGAAAAGAATGTTTCAGTTCTTGGATTCAAACTTTGAAAAACTTCATTAAAGCCTGGGGGCTGGGAACTTAATTTGTTTCTCTGGTTTGGTTCTGGGGCTTTTTGTTGGATTTCTGCAATGGGCGTGATGTTAAGAGCAGAAAGCTTTAGGGTGTTGCAGTAATTAATAGTCTGCATTGAACTTGATCATAAAAGCGAAAAAAAAAGACATGAGCTTTATAGTGTGTGCCATGGCCCTTTTTGATATAGCTACTTGTTGCACCCATACAGGATACTGAAGTGGATATTTTTTTCCCCCCTTCCTCTTTTTTTACTGATCTGTTCGCAGGATGCATTTGAAGTGTTCCCATTGCTTCTTTAAAGTAACAAGTAAAATCTTCAAATGGTCTGCTTTGCATACTTTTGGTGATAGCCTTGCCACATTGCAGAGGGGTTAATCAGGGACAGGATTTCAGTCAGGGAACTGAGTGGAACTGTTTGAACGTGGAGATTTCAGCACGTGAATATTTGCATGTGCATGTTTAGGACCTGAATCTCATTTTAGGCAGACAGTGTGCTGTTTGTATATATAAGAAATAGAAAAGATGTGGTACAATTCTGCTGAGAGCATTTTTCCATCTTGTGCTTCTGAAACGGTGATAAAGTTCTAATGCTATTGTGCAGTTTTCTTACATTAGTCTATACTGTTTTCAGTTTTATTGGCTTAAGAACATCCACTTAATCTAAGCATGACAGGCTTTTAGAAGCATCAGCACCCCGGGCATTAAAACCAACATGCTTTTCCAAAACCGTTTTTCAATAAAAACAGAATCCTATTTTGTTTTTGACAGATGAATGATGGACCTTTGTGCAAGTGCAGTGCTAAAGCCCGACGAACAGGAATAAGACATGGCATTTATCCTGGTGAAGAGGTAAGTAATTCTAAGAATTGCAATTATGAATACAAACTCGCTGCTGTAAACTCATACTTGGGTTGATTTGAGGGTTTTTTTACTATGATTTGCAGGCTTAGTAAAAACTCCTGTGCAACTTTAAATCACTTAGATGTGTAACCTCATATTTAAAATGCAATACCGGTAATGAAATCCACCTGAAAACTATGGAGAACTTTTGCTTGTATTTGTTAAGTTCTAGGGTGTGTTTTTTTAAGTTGCTGAAACACAATTACATTAATAAAAAAGAACTTGTAGTCAAAGATCTAATATGTTCAAGTGGATGAGTATGTTATGAGGGCCCTCTTTGTGAAGGGATTGCTTTAAAGGTAAAACGAAAAGTAAATAAAATAGTAATTCTGCTGCTGACAGGAGCAGGAAGCTTGTCAGGAGGTGTTCTTGCCTTAGCACCAGAGCATGTCTGCACTGTAAACATTCCTCCCTGCATTCTGTGCAAGAAAAACACTAGAGACAAGGGGGGAGAAAATTTTAGCCGGAGAAAACTGATACATAAAACTTGCTGCATGAAGGCAGCTGCTCCCTGGATCAAGGCCAGCTGGGAATTTGAGGTTTCAGAAAATCTCCTAGGATGTACTAGTTTTTAATGTCCTGTAGATAAAACTGCCTAGCTTTAAACTGGCTGGTTTGTAACTGTCGTGTCGCAGCAGTGAGAAGCTTAATTTGGGGCTGAACAGTCAGAGTAATTACCCTACTTATTGGATGGATTTTGCAAAGTGTACAGAGCTGTGTAGTGGTGTAGCTATCTTGCTATCGCCATCAGGCCAACTTTTGTAATGCTGTTTAGAGTAGTACCCTGTTCACTACAGTGATTTTGTGTTTTTTTTTTGCTGTGCGGACAGATGTATTCTGAGCAGGCTGGGGGCAGCCTCTGAACTGCAGCAAATTGGATGTAGGGCGTACGAGAAACTGTTTTTTTCTGACTGCTGAGGATTTTTAGGTCTTTAAACTGGACTGCTTTAGAACAAGCTGGAAGAAAACATGAATCCCAGGCATTTGGTGTCGCATTAGAGTGCACAGAGGGCTGGCTGCCTTTGGACCTTACAGGCAGGCGTTACAACCTGGCAGACAGAGCAGGGTTACCAGATCTGCCTCTTGGTAATCGACTAATCCCTTCTCTTCAGGCCCCAGATTTGCCCCAAGCAGATGAGCTGATACCTGTCTATCTTGATAGCATACTTTGAGATCTTTTCATGTGAGGTCCAGGTTCCTTTTCGTAAGCTTTTAAAATCAGTTTCCTGAAACAAATTTATATAAAGAGGAAATTAGTCTGGTACAGTAATTTAAACTGGTAAGTTTAAATTAGCAGTTAAACAACTTAACTGCTGTGTGTAAGAAAGAGGGAGAGTCAAATGGAAAATAAAAAATTACAGCAATGTTTTTTCACTTTTTTCCTTTTGATAGCTTTAAAAATATTTCTGAAAGTGAAAATGTAGATAAGGCCCCACTTTCCCTCTTCCCAGAATGCTTAATTATGACTACCTGCTTTTATTTAATTTTTCCTAGTACATATTTCATGGCTATTAGAAATGCTTTATTCTCTCTTTTAATCTAAATTTGCCTTGACTCTACACATAATTCTACTTATCTCTTTCTTTAAGCCCATTAAACCATGTCGCCCCATGACCAACAATGCTGGAAGACTATACCACTATCGAATTACTGTGTCGCCTCCCACAAACTTCTTAGTAAGTACTTTATAAATAATTCTAACTAGAACTCTAATTTTGTTTTCAATGACGGAAGTAGTACTACTTCTTGCTTACTCTGTGGTGGTTTTGTTTGCTTTTTTTAGACAGACAGACCTACTGTTATTGAGTATGATGACCATGAATATATCTTTGAAGGGTTCTCAATGTTTGCACACGCCCCACTAACAAACGTAAGTGTGTTCACTGCTACATACATGGGATTTGTTTGGAAGGCAAGCTGTTTCTGCCCTGAAGTAGAACTTCTCTAAAACAATGGTACATGTGTGTTGCAAACATCTTGCCAGCACTGGGGACATGAGAAAGACATTTGTGCTAATGAGTCTCAGGTTTTGTCTTGACTAATTGTGGTAAGCATTGTCTTCAAACTGTGACTGAGAATGTAATGTTTTTACAGGTTTCACAGTTTGGAAGTGAAATAAACCATGGAATAAATTGTTAAAACTAATTGGACTTAAATTGGATGAGGAGGTTTGTTAGGTTGAAAAAGTTTAAAAAAACAGCAACAACAATAAAAAAAGGTTTTCCCTTTATTAAGTGACAAATGGACTTTTTTCAGAGATCCACTCTAAAGGGATTTCTATCTTCTAAAAACTTACCTAGACATATCCACTACTTTCTAACATCTCTTCAGCTTCTTCAGGAACTAGGGAAGTTACGATTTTTATTAAAAGCTGTAGGTATTTAAAGGCAATTAATTTTACGTTTTGAAAGCAAATATAACAAGAAAAGGACATGATTGGTACCTGACTGCCCTGCTTTTCCAATATAAGCCGAGTTAGCCATATCTGAGTGAAAAATGTGCAACTACTTCATTTCTGTACATGTGAAGATTTTTTGTTATCTTGATATTTTAAGAACTGTTTTTTCAAATGTTGTAGGGTTTGGTTGTTTCCTTGGTTTTATACCTATTATTAGCTACACCACCAATGCCAAACCCAGTGTAAGAACGGTTATCAGGACAGGACTGGGATGTAAGAATACTGGAACTGAGAGGCACTGAGAAGAAAGCATTTTTTTTGGTGACATTGCATAATACGTATGACAGTACTTTACTTTTGGTGAGCAGGGGAAGGGACTGTAATGTTGATGAGAAGTCAGTAAGAGAGTAGAGTTCAGCCCGTGGGGTTGCAGTGTGAAGCCGTCCTGCCAGGTAGCATTAACTCAGCCTTGGGGTTCAAGGCAGATTTGTCCCGAGGCTTTACATTTTCACTTTGCAAACGAGCAAAAAGGAACGGTTTTATTTTACTCCCATTAAAAGGGTAAAAAGATCACCTTATCTTTAGTTTTGTATCTACTGCATGACAGGAAGGCAGAGTGTTATGGATATCTTTAATATACAGAGAACAAGGAAAACTCTTCTTGTCTGACATGAGTAGTTAGTGAAGACTAAGCTTACTCTTACTGTAAAGTGCATGTGTGTGTTTTCTCATTCCAATTAGGGGAAGTGATCAGCAGCAAATGATTACTTTTTTTACAGAGTTGAATACAAAGCATGTTGCTGCATATTGTCAGTTCCTGTTACTAACAGGTATAAAGCCCTTTGGAAGGAGTCTTTTGCTGTCTTGAGATGATTTTTGGCAACATAAAAACTGCTGTTTGAGAGACATTTTGGAACATATTTGATAAAAGGGAGATGGCAAAGGGTAGCAAAAACAGAGATCCGAACACCAACATCTTTGAATGAGGTTTCTGTAATTTGAAGTCTTAGCTTTGCACACTGTTAGAAGTCTTACTACTGTTATTACTATTACTCAGCAATAATTTAGCACGTCAGATATTAGGGAAAATGGTTAGTACAGTCATAAGAGAAATCATAATTTTCTTAATATAACTACCAAAATAATTTTGTAGGACCAACCGCATTTTCCTTTGCTATTTATTTGCTTGTGTACGTGGAACTCTAATTCATGGAGATTTTGGTTGTGGTCACTTCTCTAAAGCAGTCATTTTCTGTTCAATACAAAGAAAAATACCCCAGGCTACTGAGTTTCTGAATCAGAGTATCCTCTCCTGGTTGAACTTACATGTTAGAAAGTAAGCAAATACTCCCTGTATTTTTTTGTTTGTTTTTAAAAAGCTCTGCTGATTTAAATGTGAAAGGTTTTCCTCCCCTCAGATTCTAAATGGGACATTTGACTTCCAAGGTTTTTTATTTTTGTATTCACATTTAATATTGTATCAAACTGTAGGAAGTGCAATTTTTTATTTCGTTGTTTGGTATAGCTCCTTAGTTTATCATGCAGATATCAACAGATTTTTGTAGAGAAAATAGATGTTTGACAGTGGACTGCAAGAAGATGCAAGCAGAATATTGCACCTCTGCTAAGTCCATTGATTTCAGTGCAATCCCAGCACCAATCAGATATCTATTTGTGAACTTATCAATGCAAAATAACCTTGGGTTGCCTCACTTTCACAGACCATTGAATTGTTCTAAGATTCTTTTACGCTTGCAAGGGCAGTGAATAGTAAAACTTGTGAAGAGCTGTAGATGTGTGGGGTAGGATTAAGCATTTCTGTAGTCTTTTAGAAATTTAGCATTTTTGCTTTAAAAAATCCCATTTAAAAAAACAAACACACACCTTCAGCAGTCCATGGACTTTGCAAACAAAGGAACCTTTTTTCAAAGGTGAAAAAAAGGAGTTTGTCTTACTAGTTAGTTGAGTGAACTTCTGAGAATATTTATTGGATGAAGTTAGTATAAACCTATAAATTTATCCTGAAGTTCTTATATTGTGTTGCTATGACTTAAAGCCATATTTTAAGACAGTATAGCTAACAGAATTGGCAGCATGCTAAAAACGCCTTGTCTTCAGGTCATTGTATCAATCTGACACGTTGTGTCACCAGCAATAAATTCACTTCCAAATAGACAAGTGAAAGAAGATACGAGTTTACTGACCTTTGCTTTTTCTTCTAAACAAATTTTCATCTCCAGTAGATGGCATTATTTAATCTTCCTTTACCATCCCTCCTGTCAGCCCTGTGTTATTACAGAGGTGGAGGTTAGAACTGTTACTTCTCTTGAACATGCTTGTGTTCCTGTCTTTGCATGATCCCGCAGAGCAGCTGTTTTAGTAAGTGTCCTTTTCAGCAGACAGTAATACCTTTGCATACAAAATTGTATTAACTATACCTTTGATGCTGTATAGTTTTTCATGCGAAATTTCTATTTTCCTTCCAGATTCCTCTATGTAAAGTAATCAGATTTAACATTGACTATACAATTCATTTCATTGAGGAGATGATGCCTGAGGTAAGAAGGATAATTAGTCAAAAAGTCAGAGTGGGTTGTGAGTTGTTGATATGCTTAATGGATTAAACTCTTCAGAATGCCATCTTGTAAAGTCTCTAAGAGACAGGCTGTGTTCTGAATGAATGGCTGAAAAGGAACTTGTACTCACAGGTACTAGCATAAATCCATCTACCTAGGCTATCATACATTAAAATCAAATAGTAAGAAGTGCTTATATCGATAGCTTCTTTTCATTTTAAGTTATATACAATATATGTCAGGTACTCTTACCTGTAAGCTGAGTTAGGCATTATCCTTCTTTTACGGATGACAAAAATAAGGCATATGGAGGTGCTGGTTTGCCAGGACCACATAAGTCAATGGCAGAGCTGAGACTTAAACATGAGTTTGAAGCTCTGAAGATTGCTTATCAGTACTTAATATAAGCTGTTGCAAAAACAAATTTCCGGTGGATACAAACAAAGCACATTCAGTTCATAATCTTTTTTTTTATTACAAATTAATCCCTGGTGAAGCCAGTTTGTGAAGTAAATTGCTACAGTGGAACAGCATGTGGAAGTACAGGAACACCCCTGCATATTAACTACAAAGATAGCATCAGTGTTTAATTTAGTCACATATATTTATGTTTTTCTTTCTAGTTATCTCTTTTTGTTGCTCAACAGCATCTAAATATATGCAAGAGCCCTGAAGTTCCTCAGCAAGATTAATGTGATCAAAGCAATTCATTTCTTGTTACTGAATGTGCTGTGTTGTGTCCAAATCCTGTTCTAAAACAACAAATGGCCACCAAGCAAAATAGGAAATTTGGCATTTTTTTGGACTCCTGGTCAATTGGCTATAGCACTATTTGCAGACTGTCTTTACTAATGCATTCTTGCAGAAGAGTTTGTCTCGTTGGGTTTGGAATTTATAGCTGGTATCGTACACGTACAATTTATGTCAACTTGGCCTGATTTTGTTTGTCAGGGAAGGCTTTTTAAGTTCCTTCATTTCTGAATGAAAGCTCTTTGCTTTGGAGGAGCTGCTTCCCCACTTGATGAGAAGAATCTCATTCTTTTCTTTTTTTCTTTTTTTTTTTTCTCCTCTCCTTTCCTGTTGGCTCTTGAGGTCAAAATCCTCAATTTGCATTGTACTGATAGTTGCTATGGAAGTGATCATGCTATCACAGATGGTGATTTATAAACTTTTAATATGAACATGTAGGAAAAAGTGAATTATGAAAAAGATACTTCTCAGAAATGTCATCTGCTTAGCTTACTCAGGTGAAAGGGTTTTAGTGCATGGCGAATTATCGCAGATTCGTAATTTCTGCCTATAGTGTTGATTTGGACATTGACTAAAGAGTCTTCATTACAATGCTTTCTTGGCAATGCTTTCTGAAGAGATCACTGTGTTATGTTACAGTAGGTGATTACAGATATATCGATACTGTTTCCAAAGCCCAGTGTCTAGCAGTTGGCAAATATGAAGACACTGTTTTTTTCATTGTTTTATTGAAATATACGTGAGTGGCATTATTTTTATTACAGTATTATATAATTATAATTCTGGTTTATTTTTTTCTTTCCCCAGAATTTTTGTGTGAGAGGTCTTGAGCTGTTCTCTTCATATCTATTCAAAGATATTTTGGAGCTCTATGACTGGAATCTTAAAGGTAACTTTTATTTAGAGGGAAAAAAAAATAATATACAAAACCCCGATTAATTGCAGCTTTTGTAAATAGGACTCTATTTTGTTATGTTCTTTCGTTTAAAAAGAAAAAAGTGGGGAGGGGCCTCAAAAGAACAGGGTCAAATGCTGGTTTACGTGAGAAGGACAAACTTCCACTTTGTTCTTCAAAAATGAAATATGTTAGAGTTCATTAGTGTGAGCTGTAGCAATTAAAATGCACAAACTTGGCACTGTATTCTTGCAGATAAACTAAATTTCTTCCTAAATCCAAAACAATTATTTTTAATCAAACACTAAATATTATTGTATGTTTAATATTGCACAGTATCGTGTGCGTGGTATTTTGAAAGCCAATGTGTTAGGTAAACTATTCTCTGTTTTTACAAGCTAACAAACAAGTTACTCATACAGTATTTCTCTATGGTCAACTTATAAAGCAGTGTCACAGAGACAGCCGTAGAGGGATAACATGTCATTATAGCTGAATGTTTTTGACTTGACAAAATGAAAATATATGTTTCTGTGGAGAGTGCGACGAAGGATAATTTCAGGGATGATCCTTCCCTTGGTCTAAAAGAAAACGGAGAATATCAAAGGAATTTCATTTCAGAATCTGTAGTGTGTTTTGTTGTCTTGACTTTGTCTATGGAGATGCACTCTGCACTTATTACAGTGAAACTTCTATGCTCCTCTGTTTAATGTTTTGTGTAGCCGCCTTTGGTTTAATACTAAATGTATTCTAATATCAGTGTTGTCTTTCCTATCACTGGTTCTGATTGTTCTTTCTTTTTTAACACCCGGTACTTGCTGGTTTTGTTTTTTTTTTCATGCAAAGCTTTGGATGATAAAATAGGAAACAAAAAACCACAAAATAGCATCATGGAAATTTCCTTGTTACCTTTGTTATTGTAACCAAAAAACACCCCACTAATTGGGAAGGACTAATAAACTAGTGCTTGTGTCTATAAGGCTTAAGTGAATAAATTATATAAAACCATTTCTTATTGTATCACTGTTTTACATAAAACTAATGTCTTTATTAGATTCTTTTTATTTTTAAGTTATTGTAGCTTTCTTTAAAATTGTCCATGTGAAAGCTTTCACTAGAAGTTGTTACTCTGTTCCTTTCTGCTGTGCATTTTGTTACTTTTCTGATTGAAACTTAGGTCCTATCAAATGTAATCACCGTTCCTTGATTTCGTTTGTGGCAGGGTTGCCTTCTTTTTTTCTCTTGCAAATATGTTGCTGTTCATAAATTTTCCATATTTTTTTTCATATTTAAGGTCCTTCACTTGAAAACGATTCTATTTGCTGCCCCAGATTTCACTTCATGCCACGATTTGTGAGATTTCTTCCAGGTAATGTTTGTATTATGTAGCTTTATGGAAATCAGATCTTAAAAAACAATAAAAAGCCCCAACAAACCCCCCCAAAAAAAAAAAAACCCACAAAAACGTTGCTGCAAGTTAAATGGTTCAGTCAGTGTAGAGGTCTGGTGCTTCCATCTGAAGCTGGTAGTGCTTGCTGGCAGTGTGGATGGTTTACTCAGAACTGGGATTCAGATGGGCAGGCCAAGTCTTGTTTCCAGCTTTTTTCTCTGTCATGGTGAGTTTAGGCAGTGCTGGGTCATCCTTGTCCTGCCCTGTGATGGAGCTGTGGCATTTAAGGAGTGCTATTACCTAATCTCACATGTGAAACTGAATTTAATGTCCCTTCTGCTCTTCAGGATACCATGTGATTATATTAAAATTCTTGATGTGCAGTTTTGAGGGTCAGCATGATTGGCAGTTCTAAGCACATGTTCTGATCGTTTCTTTTTTCATCTCAATGCAAGCTTAGACCTTGCACCAAATGGTGAAAGACAGAAAAACACCATTCCAATGCAGTTCAACCCGAGCCTGCCAGCCAAGGACAAGCTTCAGTGTGGAGCGTTTTGCTCGTTTTGAGTGAACAGCATACGCAGGCATTTAACACGTCCTAAGATACTAGGACAGACTTTCAGTTGATATAAATGTCATAGGTCCATTGAAAATGTGTCCTGCTGAGATCCTGCCAGTGATTGCTCCAGAAGGGTTGTGTGGACAGGAGGATGCGTTTCAGCTGCTGGACTGAGAGTGCAGATGAGACACGGAACAATCTTCATCAAGAGGGCTGTGGCCTGGAGGTGCTCTCTGCTCTGGGCTTTGAAACTTAGTTGGGATATTAGTTATAGCTGTAGCTAAATGAGGTTTGGCTCGTTACTGTGGAGAGTACTGATGGTTGGATGACTGTATTTCTAATTGTTGTTCCTTCCTGGATATGCAACAGTGTTCAATCAGAAGCAGAGCTCTGAGGCTTGCTAGCAAGCATTGATTTTGTTCTGCTAAAGCAATTTACAAAATAAGCCATCAAGCCACATGTGGCTGATTAACTTGACCTCATCACAAAATGAGAACGTTTGACCTGCCTGGTTTGTGTAGCTTGAGGGTGTTTTCCTGTTAGTTTGGGGTTTTTATATTCTGATATGTTTTATTTTAGTTTAGAAGTCCACTCTTTCTGCGCTGTTGGATTGTTTACTGATAGGGAGAGATAAGTCTCTATAACATGTATTCCTGTGTGCTTCCTCTTTAAGGTTCCCAGCCTTCTAACTCTTTACAGAAATGTCTTTTTCCTGATATTTCTGCATATATAGTTGCCTTTTAGCATCTTCGTGACAGATATTTTTTAATCAAGTTTGCATTTTGTATTGATTATTTTTTGAGATATCCTTGGAGATTTTTAATTTCCAGAGAGCGGGAATCTTTCCTTCAGGTATGTTTCAGAATGTTATTTATCCCTAATCAAAGAAGATATATCGGTGTAACAGATCTCCACACATCCATCAACTGTCTTTTTAAAGATAGAAATGAATTGCTGATTTTCCATCCCCTCTACTTTTCTTTCTTTCTTTCTTATTTTTCTAACATGGTCTAAAAATGTGAGGTTTGGGATGTCAGGTTTTCTGTGTGGATTACTTGGAGACAGGCGTTGGGGTAGCTCTAAGCTTTGAGCTAATCATACCGGGTTTACTGAGTGCCAGAGATGCATAGCATGTGGAATAGTGGCTGTATTGTATTCATTGTCATAGGTTTTTATTTAAATACATTAAGAGAGTAAAAGACCAGAAAAAAAACAAACATTTGAGGTCCCAAGTACTGCATGTTCTGACCCAGGAAAGGTCAGGTCTCTTAACTACTGTTTAGCACAGCTGTCTATAGCAACCTGTACCCTTCCGGTACACAGTCTTTGGTGAGTAAGGCTACACTTCTTTAGTGATTGTTGGACATGGGCTACCTCTTATGTAACAATATAATCTCGTTGTTGACAAAGACAAAAGACTTGTAAACTGAGTCCCTCTTTAATTTGAAGGAAAACTTTGCACCTTTAAAAATCTGCCCCTGTAGCTATTTAGAAGGATTTTCTGTTTCCAGTGAGGTTTGGGGTGTATTTTCCCCATTTAAGTTTCCCTCTTGGAGTTTGAATGAGATTAATTGTTCCAAGAGGCCAAGTTATATCATTCCCTTTCATCTTTTCTGTACCATAGTGCTGTAATCCCAGCTGAAGTAAGAGAAGCACTTGTTCCCTCGTGTCTCTTGTAGAAGACATCATCTTATGCAACACTGCTGTTATGTAGCAGTTCTGCAAGGTTTTTCCTGTGTGCCTGGGATCACATTCCTTATCCCCCATATTGCTCTAAGCCTTCACTTCTGTTTTTTCTCCGTTCCTTTTTTTTGTGTGTGTAGTGATAGAGAGAATGTACTCAGTGGCAGGACCAGATTGCTCCTGCTCCCTGAAAGGGAAGGGAAATCAATGTTTGTGCTCTGTGCGGATGAAACTTGAAGATGCTTCCATACCTACAAGTTAACACCCTGTTGTTGAAGGAGGGGGTCGGAGAGACGCATGTCCAAATTAAAGCACTGTAGTAACATGTCAATCTTTTTACTCATATGAGCGGACATACTGAATTTGAATAGTCAGTGTCTTCTGAGTGGTGGTCTGTCAGGACCGTCACTCACTCGTCTTTCCTGTTTGCATCTTCACATCTGTAACTGGCTAGCTGGAGCCAGTCAGATGTTTATTATACTGTCTTCCTTTGTTACAAGCAGCCTTTGCTGCGCATGTTTCCTGGGGTCTCGGAAGTATTTAGCAGTTTTCATGTGCCCTTGATTCATTTAGTGACAGAAGACAGCATGAGGCTCTTTAGTCTTCGTTACTGCAGGTACAGCATGTAAGCACTACAGATAAGTTTAAAATGCAAGGATAACTTGCTACATAATTCCAGAAGTATCCTGTAAAATTTTGAGTGTTCTTTAAAAAGGCTGCACAAATGCCTAAAGGCTTTTTAACTACCGTTGTAAAAAAAAAAAGAGTGTGAAAAGGAAGATATAACTGGACAATGCAACTGATTGTTCTGCCTACTCATTTTAAAGTTTTTTCAGGCAAGTTAGAAACTTCAGCTTTACAGTATGATGAAACTGTTATTCTTGCTGCCATTACCATTATTGCTTCCAGTTTAGCAAAGTGTTTATGCATGTGCAATATTCATCAATAAAACATTTGCCTTCATATTTGTCAAGTTGCTTAAGCATTTTGCATTTTATTTTGCTTATCCGAATATTTTGTTCTGCATATTTTCTCCTTTGCTCGTGCTTTAGGAGTGAATATCTGAAATGTGTTTTATTTATTTATGTTTTCAAGATGGAGGAAAAGAAGTACTCTCAATGCATCAGATTCTTCTCTACTTGTTACGATGCAATAAAGCTCTGGTTCCTGAAGAAGAGATTGCTAACATGCTTCAGTGGGAAGAACTGGAATGGCAGAAATATGCAGAAGAATGTAAAGGGATGATCGTTACCAGCCCTGGCATGGTAGAGCAAATAATTCTGATTTATGAACAACCCAATGACACGTACATGTCTTGTTTCAGAGAGTCTGCTACAGGCTGAATTAGAAAGGGAAAAGGTGACCAGTGACAGTTGCAGATTGCTATAGGAACAGTTCATTGGCTTGTTCCAACCCTGGGAAGAATTGCACCCTCTGCTGCTCTACTGAAGGGCAGATTTCCAGATGAGCGCTGCTTCAATGTGCACATTAAAAGGAATGGCTATATTTTATCTACGTGAAACTGTAGTTTGCTCCTCTGCTTTCTTACTTTCTCAGACAGTCTTTATGTGCATGATCTCATTCTCTTTGCCGTGACACAGGACCAGAGAATTAGTAACTATTTGCTATTTTCTTTCATCTTCCTCTTTTGACCCGCTAGCTCTATTTAAAGGGCTCTATCCAGATTCTGCCCTGAATATGGAAAAGGTGTTTTCTGCCCATGTGGTTTTTTCCACGTTGTTTCTATGTTGCTCTCACTGAGGAATTTTGTGTACATTAATGAATGCATCCATTAATTTTCAGTGCCAAGCTTGAAACCCCTATGGCCTTATTATTTTTGGAACAATTAGTACTTTAAAGCATATGTTCTCTGAACACAGCCCCTTTCAACTCCAGCATTTATGTGAATTTAGTCCATTTTTGACTTTCACACTTAAGAAATGTGGGTCATGAGAATAGATGATGTCCGCTAAAAGCTGCAGGGTTCTGTTTGCGTGGTTCGATCAGTATCGCAAAGTGATATCTCAGTAGTAGAGGCATGTTTTGGACCTAATATTTTAGACTGCCATGCAGCTTTCTCAGTTGTAATACCTTTCTTTCTCTGACTTCATTTTCCTCCTTTGCTCATAGCTCAACTTCGTAGCTTCTCCAGAAAAAGTGTGACTTGGTATCATGCCTAAGGGGAAATTTAATTTGCTAACTGAAAAACCTGTCCCCAAACTGCAGCCAAGGTGACTTCCTAAATACATTTTTCAAGTTCATATTTTTAAGTATGGCAGCATTATGTTTAGTAAACTACTTTATAAGCTAATCATAACTTGGGCAGGATAATTTATTTTTCCCTTGATTTCATTCTGAGTGTTTTCGTTCTGGCAAAAACTCTCTAGACCAAAAGGAAAAGATCATCATCTGTGGGAACGTGAAATACAGAATACACATGAACTCTCACTATGGAAAATTCTACCTGAGCTGGTCAAAACTGAGTGCTAAACCAGAATCTCATAATAGAAATTATTAAACAGCCTTAACTGTTTAACTTAATGTTGCTTGTGGTTTCTGTGATACAAGGTGCATGCTAGTGCACAAGTCGTCAGCATCTGAATGGTATACGCTGACATAGCTTCAGTGGTTTTGCTGAAGATATGCTGATTTCAGCTAGCTGAAAACTTGCTTTTTTTTTTAGCATGAAGGAACACATACATGCTTCTTCGTTGTGTCACTGAACTGTAAATGTCTATGCATAAGGCAGTGCAGTTTGTGAGTGGTAGTGTTAGTTTTTAGTTTTTGTGTGATTTTTACTGACAAACTTTGCATTCTACAAGGCAATGTTTTTAAAGATGTGTGTGGACATCAAAATATGTAAGCATAAAAGAAATCTGCAGTACTTTGAAACATTGTCATGTTAATGCTATCATTAGAACATGTTTTTTCTCTCAAGAAGATTGCAGTGACTTTCTTCTTAGTTTGTGGATTTTTTCTGTTCATTGCAGCATATTCTATTGAGTATGAAAGTAAGTGAAAAATAGAATATGAAAGTATTTTCTATGCATTTTACAACATTAGAAGATAAAACAGTTCTGTTTATAGAGAAAATGTGAAACTGTTTTGGAAAATGACAGCTCTTCAATTCAATTTTATCCACTTGACACAACAAAGTAAAACCACTAAATTTTATTTTTTTCTGCTTTCCTCCACAACATCACTTCAGAAATAATAATTCCTCTTGTGAGCAGATCTAGGTTTTTTATATGTATTTTATTTTTTTTAAGTGAGGTGTATATATGCATGATGGAGAAGGGAAAAAATCTTGATAGGCATATAAATCCTGTTTACTTAAACAACTAACAGTAGTTTAGCATTATTTAAAACCATTTAATTTATTCATGGTGTTTCATTAGTTCAGTGACACTTTGTGTTAGAATAGATTTAAAGGTTCACAAATTTTAATCCTTTTCAATACTTGACTCTTTTTTTCTAAAATATTGCTGCTTTTCTCACTAGTACAAATATATATGTATTTTAACATACTTTTGTACTACATCTGCATGCAATCTCATGTCTTCTAATATCAGCAAAGCCTCGACTGATGACATTTGGAATAGGAAACAAAGATAACGGGCCTCTGTTCTGTTAGAATTTCTTTGTTTTTGAGATTTTAAAAGCGAGGTTGTGTTTATTAGATTGTCTCTCACAGCACTTTTAAAAGAACACAGGGATAAAAATCTGGAAGAATAACGTCTAATTTGCTTGCGTCCTGTCTGCTGGTGCGGTTTATGCTGTATATTTCTGTATGGTGCTGTTTGTTCATTTAACCTTCAGAAACAGCACCAGAGAGGAAGCTGGTGTTCACCGTGCTGAAGGAAAAAAACATAGCCTAGCTACTCCCCTCTCATAACCGTCAGTGAAGGAACAATCGTGATGAAGTCTTAAACAACGAGTTCTTTTGTTCTGGCTGTTACCAGGCATCTGTGAACAGCTGTGTAACTGAGTGACAAAACTCAAAGGCAGTGGCGTATAAATAAAGAGAAAGAGTCTGGTTTTGAGTGATCCCGAGGCCACGTGTTTCACAGACTCTGCTATAGGCATATTGAAAGCTCTTCTCCCTTTCACACTTTTCAGAATCAGATTACTTCTATTTAAGTGTCTAAAATGTGGAACATTTGAATAGGAAAATATTGTCAGTAATTTTTTTAAAATACATTGATTATAACTGGTGTATTGAGTATAATTATTGTTTCATATTCTGTTAATCATATTTTGCTGCCTTGGTTCTCAAAGGAGTTGTTGGGTAGCAAGGTTGCTTTTTTGAGGGGGGCGGGGATAAGAGAAGTTCCTGATTTTTAATGTTAAGAGAAGGGAGAACCAACGAACAACTTTTGTGAAGGTAAAAACTTTTCAAATTAGCTTTGTGCAAACCCCACAAAAACAGATAAACTTAAATTTCAGGACTTTAAGCTTTGGTTTAGAGAAGAACATTCTGTCTGCTCCAAATCCTCCCCATGTTCTTCATTAGATTTTGTTGTCCTAATCACTTTTTCTTGGAAATGCTGTGGGGAAAACCTTTTCTCCCTGGCCCCCTCCGCCCCCCCCCCCCCCACTTTTTTTTTTGGCTGGGGAGATGTAACTTTATGTTCAGTCATCATGTCCAAAGGGAAGCTGATAAGCATTTGGAAAATGTTTCTCTGTCTGAATGTCAAAGTTTTAAGTAAGTTTTTGTATTTCTAGAATAGACTGGAAATGTGGCCACCTGATGAGGCTTACCTTTATTTCTAGAATTGGCTTTGCTTATCCATGCAGAAAATGATTGCTTCGAACAGTTCTACCAAGGTGGTTTGAAGGGTGAAAGCTTTGTTCTTGACACAGTTTTTATTGTTTTCTGAAGAGAATGGTGGGAGCTGTTTCTGTAACTCTGAAACTCATCTTTGAGAAATTCACAATGCTAAATTAGAAGTTTTGAGATGCAGGTAACTAGAAATAATGCCCTTTTTCTGAAACCTTAAGACAAGCAGAAAATACTGGCCTGATCCAGCTGATAGCAAAGTGGGGAGTAAGCAGGCACATAACAAAGCAGTTTGCCAGGTAACAGAGAAAATTACTTGGAGACAAACTGTGCACCTTCAACTGAGTTTTTAAATATGTTAGATAAGTGATCGAGAGCTCTGTAAGCAGCATGTCTTCTACAGTGATGTGCAATTACTCATTTTCAGTGTTTTTAGAGGTGAAATGAAAGTTGCCTCCTTCCGTACTGTCCTTTATAATTATAAAAAGAACTTCTGTTTTGAACTGTAGAAAGGACAAAAGTATCCTCGCTATACAAGACTGTATTCCTCATTATACACATCAGCCTAGGAGCCTTTTTCTAAGAGTAGCATGACAGATTTTTTAATGCTGTTTAGTCGGTGTGATTGAATGGATTGAATAATGGCTTCACTTGCTTTGGGAAATCAGGAACAGAACTAAAATTAGAGAGGTAACCTGATCTTAGCGAACTACTCAGGCATGTGGGAGTTTGGATGCCAGAATGTTAATCCTGATTTTATTTCCAGTGTTTGACCAAAGAAAGTTGCTTTAAATTCTCAGAAATAATCAAACTGTAAATTTTCTGACTTGTAAAATGAAAATAAAAAGACTTCCTTTTTTTGCTGGGAAAGCTAAGTCAATTAACTTTGTTTCAGTCATGGTCATTGCCATTGACAAATATTTATTATAATATTAATTATTAGTTTTATGTGTATTTTAATAAGCTTGGAATATTGCTGCTTCATGGTTCCTGGACAGTGTGGGCTAGAGGTAATACATTTTCCATGGAGCTGTCGTCAATTAGGTATATTTTGTTTTTTCTCCTAGAAACCCAGCTCAGTTCGTATTGATCAACTGGACCGGGAACAGTTCAATCCTGATGTAATTACTTTCCCCATTATTGTCCACTTCGGGATACGACCTGCTCAACTCAGTTATGCTGGAGATCCTCAGTAAGATGCTTTTCCTTCCATCTTTCGTTCAGAAACTCATTACTGTTGTCATTTGTGGCTTAAATAGGGCTTGTTTATATCGGACTTAATTAAGCACATAAAGCTTAGTGCTTATGGCATTGGACACTAGCTCTTGTAAATTAGAGAATATAAGGTATAACTTGTTTTTTCTGGCATAACTCAGGATCTGCTGAAAATAAATGTGCATGCATGTGCAGTATAAAATTTCCTAACCTGAGAACAGCTCTTCTAGGTCAGACCAAAGGCTCCTCAAGCTCCACATTATTTCTCCGAGAGGCCAGTTGTGGGTTTTTGGAGAAAGAATAGTGTAATGGGAAGGCAGAGGGGGAGAAACACCCAGGCTTCCGAAGGTCCGTAGCATATGGACTTCTGAGCTAGAGGATATATTTGGATCATTTTGTTTAGCAGCCCTGAACGGATCTTCCTTCTCTAAATTTCTCAAATCACTGTTTGAATCTTTCTATGCTACTGACAGGGAGAAGATTCCAGGTAATCACCTCCCCAGTGCTATTGTGCATCATATGAAAAAGGACTGACTTTTGTTTCAGAGCTGCTACTTGATCGTTTAATTAGATGCTCTTCAGGTCTTACATCTAATAATGAACATAGCCATTTTCTGTTTGCTTTCTTCATGACATTTATTTTTCTTGCACCCTGCTATATCCTACTTAGTTGTCTCTTTCTATGCCTTGAAGGATCTCAAGTTTTATGTACTATTTCCTAGCTTGGAAGCTGTTGGGTCCATGCTACTTTTCTCTGTCCCTTTTATATCCTTATAGAGATTGGGAGGAATGTAGTGAAGAAGTGGAGAGGGAATCAGAACTTCAGTCAGAGCAAGGAATACTGTTTCACTGTGGATTTGTGTAGTGGTGTAAAAGTGATTGCTGGATTTTGTTCACAATTCTTTTCTTAATTTCTGACAATTTCAGGGAACTCTTCCAGTGGTTTGGAGACCTGATTTCTGAATGATGACAGACAGTATAGACCCCATCTCTTGTGCATATATAGTTAAGGTTTTCTTTTTCCTCATGCATTTTCCTCCAGTGTCTTTTAAGGATGTTGAATTTCACTTGCAGTTTTGAGGCCCAATCACTCATATGTGCATGTATGACAGATATATTCTTCTACAACTCCTTGCTGAGAATTTTAGATTTAATGTGGTGGGAATTGGGAAGAGAGAGTACTTATCCAGATAATAACATATTTTCTTTTGGCTTTGAGTATGACTTTTAATCCTTCTCATCTTTTAGTTTTCTTATCCATAAAAAGAAAATAATTAGACCAAAGGATATAAGAACCACCTTTATTTTGATGCTGAGTTTCTTAATATTTGTAAAGTTCTAGTACCTTGCATTGAAAAGAGTCTAAAGATACAAAAATTGTTCTTCCCACACTTTTATTTTAACTTACTTTAAAATTTCCATGGCTTTTTTTTTTTTCCCCCCAGAGCTGCTCACAGAATTTAGGCGTGCTTCTCTTTATCAAAGCAACAAAGCAGTTTTTGTGAAAGACCTCTGTGGTGCCGTCATAAATCTCAGGCTTAACTCTGGTGTATGTGTGAAATAGGTAATGCCCAGAAAAGATTTTCCTCTAGTGTCTCTCTTTATGATGTTCTAATACAGAATTTTTGTTACTATAATCTGTTTGTTATTGCAAAGTCTGAGAATTAATAGAGTTTGTCCCACCCATATTAATACTAGTAGCAAAACATATATTGTAGGTCTTAGTTTCAGGTTCTTGTTTTTGGGTTGAAACCTCCTTGTGGCATTTGTTTGTTTTCTGGTGGGTTCATTTGTTCATTAACTCATTTTTCTTCTTTGGATGGGGATTTGCCAGAATAGATGTGCTATTCTGCAGATTGCAGAAATGTGGAGAACAGCATAAGAAAAATCTATGGATTGACCATTTCAGGTGTGTTTATAGACTCAAAAAATATCAGCATCTCTAGAGGCAGAGAGTATACATTCAAGAATGCTGCAGAGAAATAGTCATGGAAAAAAAGCCAATAAGAAAGGATCTGTTTGTGTGCCTGTGAATGTGGGATGCTGGGAAGATTAGGGAAGACTTAGGGAAGTGATTATGCCCCTGTACTCGGCACTGGTGAGGCCGCACCTTGAATAGTGTGTTCAGATTTGGGCCCCTCACTACAAGAAGAACGTTGAGGTGTTAGAGCATGTCCAGAGAAGGGCAACGAGGCTGGTGAGGGGTCTGGAGCACAAGTCTTATGAGGAGCGGCTGAGGGAACTGGGGTTGTTTAGCCTCGAGAAAAGGAGGCTCAGGGGAGACCTCATCGCTCTCTACAACTACCTGAAAGGAGGCTGTAGCGAGGTGGGTGTCGGTCTCTTCTCCCAAGTAACTAGCGATAGGAGAAGAGGAAATGGCCTCAAGTTGTGCCAGGGGAGGTTTAGATTGGACGTGAGGAAAAATGTCTTTACTGAAGGCATGGTTAAACATTGGAACAGGCTGCCCAGGGAAGTGGTTGAGTCCCCATCCCTGGAAGTATTTAAAAGACGTGTAGATGAGGCGTTTAGGGACGTTGTTTAGTGGGCATGGTGGTGTTGGGTTGACGGTTGGACTCGATGATCTTAGAGGTCTTTTCCAACCTTAATGATTCTATGATTCTATGATTATGAAATAGTAAAAGAACTGCTGCTTCATTTACTGCTTTGCCAATAGTGTGGTAAATTCCTACTAAAACCACTGCTCTAAGTTGGTACTGAGGAGGGTCTTATTTTATAATGTAAGTATAAAAGAAAATAAATTTCTTTGGTAAACTTCTTCCCTCTGTACTCTAATTCCCTGCTTCCTATTAAAAGTCTGGTTTTATGGGTTTTCTTGAAAAAACACTACAGAGGTGATACTATTTTGGAGATAGCATTGTTTCCTAAGGACACAGAGTCCATGTCATGATTCTCTTGGTCGCTCCTCCTGTGGTAACTTTTGAACCTGTTGGTCAATTGCAGCTGAATATAATGGTGGGATGTTGTCTAGAAATGGAGTAAGTTCTTATAAGTTTTGTGAAAATCCATGCTAGATCACAGAGAGACTCCACTGAGGAAAAAGTTCCGTTATTGAAGTTCATGTGTAGACACCCCCAAAATATGGAAAGGCTAGATGGTTGAAGAAAACCAGATACCTTAAGTAATGCTAACTACAGAGAAAACTTGACTTGCTGTTTCCATTCAACGCAAACACTAGGGAATGAAACTTTTATTTCACTGTTCACAGAATGACTTCATGTTTCACGACTTGTAGAGCTCTTCCTCACGTGCTTCACTGAAATGTTTTAGCTGGTGTCAGGACAGACACTTCTTGCGAAAGGTTACTACTGCTTTTCAGTGAGTGATAGGTAAACCCTGTGGAGAAGAGGGAGTTTTCACCTGCCTGAATTGAGATGTCATACTGCGGGCAAGTCTTTTCAGCATGCGGGGGTGGCTCTCTGGAGGGGACGGGTGGGTGTCTGGGAGACCTGGGTTCTACCCTGAGCTTTGCTGTTCACCTCACGCTGCACACTAATGCCTCCTCTCTGCTGCTGTGGTCCACCCCGCTGGAACAACTGCAGAGACACTGTCACCTCTCTTGGAAATAATTTGAGATTTTTTTTCTGGAGCAAAAAGATGCTTGTAGACAATCTGCGTGTATATGGGTGCATTATTAGCAGCTGGTGTGTTCATAAGGACAAACGGTGAGAAACTTTTGTTGTACCAGCCAAAATATTTGTTTTCTGGTTTTGTCCTTCAGATACCAAAAGCTGTGGAAGAGTTACGTGAAGCTGCGTCACCTGCTGGCTAATAGTCCCAAAGTCAAACAGGCTGATAAACAGAAATTATCACAAAGAGAGGTATGCTGAGCCTTCCTGTAACTGATAACTGAGCACGGTTATTCAGGATGGAATAAAGCCATATGACTGCCCTGTTTATGGAAACACTAGAAATCCTTCACAAAAGATTTTCTTTTCAGGCTGTTAACACTGATTTTATTTTTATCTTTGCTTGTTAGTGAATGGATTTTTTTCCTTTTTTCAGCTGTCAAACTACTGCAAGTTTTTTACCCAATTATAGAAATGATCATTATAGAACCATAACTTCTTTATAGCCATTGCCATTAATGGTTTCAAGAATTAGCATAGAGAAGGACTTTTTATTTCAGAGTGCACTTTTAACTGGCTCATAATTTTAAACATTTCTCTTCTGAGATAAAAACTGCCACAGTTTTGTGTGGTTTTAAACCATAATTTATTAGGCAGTCTTAGTGACATTCCTTAAGGTCTTTGAGTTGAAATAATCTGGTTGTTGTCATTTTCAAGTAATCTTTAATGACAAATGAGGTATTTTTGAATTTTTGTCTTTTCTTTCTCTTTTTTTTTGCCCCTGAAGTGATGAGCAATAAGCATTTCCTAAGTGCAGATGCTCAACCAATTGGGAATTAAAATCAGAAAAATAAAGTCACCTAAATATAGACTAAAGCACCCTGCTGTCAGGTATCTTTTTTTATTTTATTTAAGATCTTGGACTGAAGCTTTTATTTTGTCTGGTGCATGTCTACCAGGCAGTCTTAATTGGACAACTTACATAAAGAATACATACAGGGGAAATTAATTTCTTTGGTACCGGATGGAATTTAGTTACATGCTGTTGTATTTTTATTTATTGATTAGAAACCCTGATGATTCATAGAATCATAGAATAACCTGAGTTAGAAAGGACCCATGAGGATCATTGAGTCCAATTCCTCAGTCTTCCCCAGTTTGCTAATTGCGTAGCTTTGGTTGCAGTAAATGTTTGATACATTTGACATTGCACCTGATTTTTATTATTACTGCAAAACATAATATGCTGTTGCATGAGCAAGAGTCTTAGTTAACATTTTATTTATGCTGATATTAAGTAAGCCTTTAGCTTCCTTACTTGTAAATGGGAAAAAACACAATATTGTGACTTAACTGTGCCACAGTTGTAAGGAGAAAAAAAAAAATTGTCCCTATAGGAGATGATTTTGTTTGCTACAGCTTTCTACACTCAGAGCAAGTAGAAGGGAAGACTATTGTTTTATGGGCATCTTTTCATTAGGGGCTAATGGATGACTTATTTGTAAAATTGTAGTGGATTGCATGTGGGTGGGTGATTATGTTTTGCTTCAAAAGATAAAATGCTCCTTTGGTATTTATCACTTTGAGTGGTGTGCTGATTTTTGTTTCTAGACTGTATTATCTAGGATAATGGGTTTATCAAGTAGCTGTCTGCCATCTGAGAGGCATATGGGGCTGAAGCAGAAGCTTTATGTGAGGATAACCTTTGCATTTTGCCAATGGATGTGTCAGTAACTTAGAAGGAGCTGTAGGGCTGCACCTGACTGGTACATGGGCTTTTAAAGATTATGATTCATATGTTATGAGTAACACTGGGGTGCTCCTGAGCCAGTCAGCCTGAAAGTACAGCTAGGTCTAGCAAACACTGTAGCGCCTGTCTCAGAAAACACCCAATGACACAGCCTCAAAATGCAAATTTTAGACAATTGTCCTAAATTATCTAGGACAATTTAGGGGGTGCAGTGCTGTAAGCATCTCTGTTCTCTCTGTCATCGGTCATTCACTACAACGAGATTGTATGATGTTATTATTTGTGACAAGGTCATGCCTGGGGGTGTTATTCCTCTAACCTAACTTCAGGCGTTTATAGCAGGTGCGTAAATTGGGACCTGAAGGCTCACTTTGAAGTCAGTGGAGAGAGAAATGCATTTTTTGAAGCCATTTATCCCCCTTCATTGAATATAAAAGGAGCCAGGGCTAACTAGCTCCTACCCTAGATGCCTCAGTATTGAGGTGTCTGAGGTTTGATGAATCTGCATCTGGATAGATGCACCTCTTGGAACTACTCTGTGATTCTCTGCAGAACAAAAGTCAGAGCCTGTTCCTGCCCAGAGATGCTCACAGGCTTCAGACTGGAAGCTGGGAAGAGACGGCTTTGAGCAAGTGCCCTGTAGTGAGAAGGAGAGGGAGGATGGGTTGCAGCTTTGAAAAGTTTTGTGTTCTGAAGAAGGAAGAGCACTGAGGGAGGCTTTACCATTAGTCCATGTGGGGAGCTTGCATACCCTGGGGGCTTTGTAGTATTGGAACCAGGAGATCCTGATCCAGGGGTGATTTATTTTAGTTGGTTTTCTTTCATTCCATTTTTACAGAAAATAGTTTTCTTTTAATGACTCTGTCCCTTTCATAGTTTTTAGAGACAAATAAACTGTTCGCACAACACCAAATAGCCAGTGGTCAAGGCAAAACGGATTTTTTTAAAAAATTTTTTAATTGAAATAATACTGGTAGAATTCATCATAATAGGCTCCAGGACTAGTGGATGCTGACCCCTTTCCCAGACTGAGAGTACTGACAGTCTTGAACAGGAACTATTATGAAGTAGCCAAGATCACAAAACAAAGCCTTTCTTTTACTTAGTGTTTTAATCCTACTGAATGCTTCAAACCAGGAGTACTCATGGTGACAGACTTGAACGAAGAGGTTGTTTTTCACACAGGGGTAAAGAAGGTGCTTTCATTATAAGGACCTTAACTTGCTTACTTATGTATCGTCTTGGATGTATGAGTTGGCCTGGTTTGTTCTGTCATTTGCAGTAAAAAAACGTAGTCACCTCTGTTCTCTTCTTGGTCTACCAAAGTCCTCTGTCTACACTGTACTCCAGCACGTCCACCACAGTCTGTGGCTGGCAGTTACAAGATTTGGACTAGTCTTAGAAACTGCTCACCAAAAGCAAACCTTAAATGGGTATTGTGAACACACTTATGTGTGCGTTGATACTGCTTTGTTGTAGAAAGCTCTTCACAGGAGCTCCGTTCTCTCCCTATCTAGGAAGCACTGCAGAAAATTCGTCAGAAGAACACAATGAGACGTGAAGTGACCGTCGAGTTGAGTAGCCAGGGATTCTGGAAAACAGGGATACGCTCTGATGTCTGCCAGGTGACTAAACCGCAGAGATGTCTGATGTATTTTCTTTCTTGATAGCTGCCATTTACCTCTTGCAAGGGTTTGCTGTGATTCTAGGCTGAAGAACCAAATGGAAATAAATACCTTCGCTTCAATAAGATCTGTTGATTTAGGGAACTATTATAGTGTCCTGTCTACCCCCTCCACACACAAAAAAAGTTATTTTAAAATTTTAGTTTTCTTGACACTGGTTGGTTAGCATAAGGGAGAGGGGGGTAGGAATGGTTAGCTTGAGGCTGGAGGTTAGCCAAATGTTGAGTCTAGTGTGGAACTCCAAGAGCTTCTTCATCCATCAATTGGGTTGGTTTTAGATATTTTTATTTTAATATATTTTTCTATTTAGATATTTTTTAAAAAACAATTTTACAGTGAAGCATGAAGAAATATCTTTTTAGTTGAACAAAAAGAAGGAAAAAAAAACCCATCACAACTAACTTTTGGATTAAAACAGGTGACCCTCAGTAGGAAGATCTCTTTCAGATACTCATACACATGACATCTCCAAGGTACAGGTCTCTGCCAGATCCTATTCTGAAGCAGTTCGCAGCCACCATCTTTGTGGTATGATAAAAATAAGTGCAATTTTTATATAATATTGTATTAGTAAAAATCAAGTAGTTATAACAGCCAAATAAATATACTAGAGGTATACTTGCATCATTTTTTTTTAGCTGTTGTTTTGGAGATGTTATTTAAGAATTAAATGCTTACAATTTAATATTAACAGTATGAAGTATAAACTTCGGGGGTTGCTAGGCAAAGGTATAGGTAGAAATCCCATTGTTATCTTAGAAGTCTGGTAAAGGCAAAGGAGAAATTCTAATGGGAGAGAAATGCTAATAAGTACAATTGCTCTTCTGTCTAAAACATTTCTTGTGATTCTACTATTGCTTCTGAAGTCGGAGAAAGAGAATAGTGGAACAGTATCTTCTCATATAGCTGAGGAAAGTTACAGCACTTTTCTAATATTTTTTGTTGGGAACTGTATCTACTTTTACAGGTTAAGTAAACAGTGTAAATTTCTAATTTAAGAGCTTTTGAAACAGTTCTGTTATTCATAATACCTTCTGTGATTCATCTCTTAATGTCTTCTTGGATATTCGTGTTTCATTTTGTTGCTGAAGGACAGCAAAACACCAAAGAACGATGAAAGTAAAGCTATTTCACATTTTTGTGCCCATCTGCAGCCATGACATCTAAATCAGCCAGTTCTGGTATGAAGGTCCTTTGATTTGATTTCTTTGAGAGGCCAAGAGTAGGCAAACTGTATGTCTGTAAAATGAAAGATTGCTGGTGTCGCTACATGCTTTTTCTCAGATTAAAGATGACTAGAACTAAATACACATAAATCAAGCCTGTGGGCAGAGCTAAAGTGCAGTGATTTAAAATTAATGCCTTTAAAAGCATTGCTGTTTAGAGGAGTGAAACTCTTAAGTCACTCTGATAACTTATAGTTGCTCTAAGTTCCACATATCAGTAATGACACTGGTCTTTGCAGTCTCAGAAATTAACCACTTAGAGGGGGAGGAAAAAGGGCGAGTGAAATGTTCCAAAAATGTAAAATGCCTGTGTTGTGCCCGGCTCACTTGAAGTTACCCAGTAGATGGAGTGCACTACTTGGCCACTAAGCTGGGCAGCACTTACTATGCAGTCTGGCAGGATGGGGCCATGCTGAGAAT